ATTTCTGGGTCCACCGTTTACACCTCTATTTCCAGACTCATCTCTCTCCCTCTATTTCTCGGCGAACAAAAGAATAATAATATATAATAGTTTTAGCAACAGACAGAAATTAGTGACTGATAGAACAGAGTACATATAGAAGAAGAAATAACAAGATATGGGTGTGGATTACTATAAGATATTGAAGGTGGATAAGAATGCAACAGATGAGGATTTGAAGAAAGCTTATAGAAAACTGGCCATGAAATGGCACCCAGACAAGAATCCCAACAACAAGAAAGAAGCTGAGGCAAAATTCAAAGAGATTTCTGAAGCCTACGAGGTACCTACTCTGATATCTGTTTCTTTAATATGTTTGTGCACATTATACTTAATCATGTGGGATGTCAGTGACTTATATGATGTTTCTGCGTTTTATCATTATGTTTCTTGTAATTCTTCTACATTTTGCCAATAGTTGTATTCATTCTTAAGATTATATGTCTTGATGGCTAGACCCCATTTAGTAGAGTTGCACTAGGACTGAATTTTTGTTGGAATTCTGCAGAATTTTGTTTATTTAATTGGCTTTTATGATCTCAGTTATGAAAAAATGTTAAATCGGACGCATAAACTTGGTATGCATTGGCTGTATTTCATTGAATAATTAATCTACTTCTTATCACCTTATGATCAAATTTGGAATTGGATCGCAAATTTCTTGATTTAATCACTGGTTGAATTTTTATCTCAAGAAGATGTTTTATCTGTGTATTAAACGGTAAAACATATGGCTGCAACGGATGCAATTGAAATTATTTTAAACTGTTTGTGTTTATAATATATTATTGGGGGCGAAACATATGTATGACATGAAATCTGATGATTTTTTTATTTTTTTTTTGGGGTCCCTCATAAGGTTTTAAGTGATTCCCAGAAGCGGGCCATCTATGATCAATATGGTGAAGAAGGCCTAAAAGGTCAAGTGCCGCCACCAGGTGCTGGTGGTACTGGTCCTGGAGGTGCTACATTTTTCCAGACAGGAGATGGACCTAACGTATTTCATTTCAATCCGAGAAATGCCAACGATATTTTTGCTGAATTCTTTGGCTTTTCGAGTCCATTTGGAGGGATGGGTGGTGGTGGTGGCATGAGGAGTGGTGGTACAAGGTTTTCTAGTTCAATGTTTGGTGACGATATATTTAGTTCATTTGGAGAGGGTAGACCGATGAGTTCAGCCCCGAGGAAGGCACCACCAATTGAACAAACATTGCCTTGTAGCCTGGAAGAGCTTTACAAGGGCACCACAAAGAGAATGAAGATTTCCAGAGAAATAGCTGATGCCAGTGGGTACGTTATTCTTATATATTATGCTTGCTTACTGGCACTATACGTACTTTATTGGATATTAACTTGCTGTCTCTTGTGGGTTTTGTTTATTTAGTGGATCTCTAAGGGCAATTGTTCTTTGTTGAACAGGAAGACCTTACCCGTAGAAGAGATTCTTACCATTGATATCAAACCTGGCTGGAAGAAGGGGACAAAAATCACATTCCCGGAGAAAGGAAATGAACAACCAAATCTTGTTCCAGCGGATCTAGTATTTATAGTCGATGAGAAGCCACATAGCGTCTTCACGAGGGAAGGTAACGATCTCATTGTTACGCAGAAAATATCGCTTGCTGAAGCATTAACAGGATACACAGTCCGTCTCACAACACTTGACGGGAGGACCTTAACTATACCCATCAGCAATGTTATTCATCCCAACTATGAAGAGGTTGTGCCCAAAGAAGGAATGCCTATTGCAAAAGAACCCTCAAGAAGGGGCAATCTGAGGATCAAATTCAATATGAAGTTCCCAACTCGGTTGACAGCTGAGCAGAAATCTGGTATCAAGAAACTACTTGCCCCTTGATCCAAATAGCAACTCCTTGCTACTAGTATATGATGTTTCCTTGTAAAATTACTCTTTCTGTTTTTAGTTTGTTTTGTCTGAATTAGGGGAGTCCCCTTCTAAGAATGACATTGAGTTGCATGGTAAGTTTCCCTTAATATGCCTTGTTCGGAAAAAGACAACACAAATAAGATTGCTGCTTGCCATTAAATATTGCTTAATGCTGGAAATATTAGTTAGCAAGTGGTCTCTTTTTATTTGACTCCCCGTTGCACAAAGCAGAATTCTGATTCTTACATAAATCAGGGGTATTGCCTTTGGTGCTTTGCTTTAGTCAGTCCCCCCTCTCGGGTCAATCCTCATTTTATCCAGCTTTAGTTGCGATTATTTTGGCACCATCATGAACACTACCTTCAATGCCTAAGAAGCTGCTTCCCAAACATCTCTTGCTTCCGTTTTCAACATGAGACGATGTCCTCAGGACTATACTTCTGCACTCCAATCCTAGG